ATACTATAGCATTAACTATTAAAATAAATTTAGTAATGTATTCCATGATTCAAGGACAGTTTTCATACCATATTCCAGGTGTTTTACTGGGTAAAATTGGGTCATTGATGAGCGATACCGCACCTACATATACATTTTGAAGAATTACTAGATGTTTCAAATTTCTCTATAACTTTTGATATGACGACTTTCTGATAAACTATGGCTCTAAGTCAGTCCAATACTGCAGAAATAAGGACCAATGGATTTGTTATTCATTCATGTAAAAAGTATCTTAATAATATATCGATATATTTCTTAATGCTGAACTGCATTGGGAGGCAATGGAATTTATAATCGAAATGAGGTGTGAAACATTGTTTTACTATTGTATCAGCTATGGTATATGTATTGGTATATGTTTCATGTTCCGGTAAATGATCTTATTGAAATATCCCCTCCGCATTACCGATATTTATTGGCGTATCACATCATTATGTTTGAAATATATCACGGGCAAACTTTTCTCTAAAAGTTGAGATTTATTTCTATGTTTCGGCATAATTCTAAACAATATTCTCAACTATCAATGGGCGAAGTATGGACACAGTATTGTTAAAATTTTGAAACATTAAGCAGAATTAAATTGGTTGAAGTTCAATTTGGTCACCCTGTATATTTAAGCTAACTATAATAAAACATAAATCCTCAAAGTACATAAAAAGAAATATTAAACAAAGAAGTAATATCTATGACCCCCAGCACGATCTTTTTTCTCCTCGCAGCGGACAAGCATGCGTAGAAATTTATAGCAACATCTGCAGTGAACACACATGCATACATACCCTATGGATGGATTTATTTACTTACAATATTGTGAATCTATAAAAGCTTGCAGAAATTCTCCTCACATGTGTGTGGGCACACATTTTTTGTGATTTAGAGCACGAATATGACGATCAACGTATATTAAGTCCTTCGCAAAAGCCAATACCACAACCGACGAAAGGCCAAAATGCTGCACTCTGCGTTTTAAAATTCTATAGGAAATGTATAGCAACGTATCCATAATATAACAGTATAATGACCTATAATAACAATATATGTCAATATAAATTACATATACCAGATATACTCACATTTGTATATAAGCATGTATATTCTTATGAGAAATATGAATACTGGAGGATGAGGTGTGAGGAAAGAAAATTGCAACAATAATTTCCGATTAAAACGAATTGTGGCCACAACTTGAGCGATTTAATGAAATTATGGCAAATTGACGATTGCAATAAGCGCGAATGGAGTTGTGTGTGCGCCAACAGACACGCATCTAAGCCGTCACCACTTACAAGGTGCAACTCCACTTCCAACTATCTGATGAACATGTACGTACGAAGGCCCCAACAAAGTAGCGGCGCATGTGCTATTCAGAAATGGTAATGAAGTGTCGGCGATAATGAGTTGTTCCTTTGAGACTTATCAGCGACTTAATGATGGTTTAAACTTCATTGCAAGAAAAAATTATTGTTGAAAATTAAATGGGTTATTAAAACATATCAACAAAAAAAAATATTTTAAAAATGTAGCACAAAAAATGTCAGTTTAACTTAGAGAATTAGTATTCTCAAAGAGTAATAATCAATTCAAAATAAGTAACTAAAATATTTATAGACAAAAACCAATTATTGTAAAAATATTCCCGAACAATAATTAATTAATTAATTAACATTTATAGAAAATTAATTAATTAATTAACTTTAGACATAATAAATATACTATTAAGAGAGCAAATTCCTGTTAGGACTACGACTAGTGAATTAACAGTTCAAATTGCTTCATTTATCAAGTATTAAAAAGAAAAATTTCGCATTTGTGACAAAAAGTGCTCGACTCCTCTCTACAAGGTGCTATAATATAGAATTATTTTTAATGCGGTCCAAAAGTCTCGATAAAAAATCTGGAGAAATGTTAAATTGAAGAATATAAATCTTGTTTCATTTAAATTTTTTTATATAATTTC